CCTACTGCTGTTTGGCTTTCATGAGCACAGATTTGATTCAAAGCTAGCATGATCCAGGACTTCAAGGTTAGTGACATGTTCCTGACACTAGATTCTGAACATAGAACAAAGAATCCATAAGTTTTTCAATTACTTGATGTGTTTAATGGTACTAAGTCTAGGATTCATATCCAGTGACGTGAACGAAAGACAGCTATGTTGTACACTTTCAACTTTTTTGATATGCATACGTTGTTTAGAGTCTTCCCAATGCCTGGCTGTCACTGCCGATTCAAACATCAATTTCATTGTCATGGGAGATAGTACTTACCAAGTAATTGAAACTAAATCAGATACTATCTATAGCAATAGATAGTGCTGGGTATTTGGTATATTTTGATAGAGCACTTCAGTTTTTCAAAGTCAAATTGTCAGGTTAAAAAGCTTTGCAGCCTTGGAGGAGAAATCACACATCAGTTGCAAATTAAACTTATCGTGAATCAAGAGTACACAGCTATCAGCAAAATGAGCTTCCTGAAAGAGATCTAACAGTGTCTTTGTCCTGGCATGAGATAAAAAAAAAAAAAAGGTTAAAGTGGACACAATTGACCTGGTATCAGATATACACTTCTTTCTTTAGAATCTAGGTTGCATGAAACAGAATACACAAGCTGTGAATGAAGACTGGAGCTAGCATACAGCCCCCTACTGCATCACACATTCCCACTGGAGAGGATCTGGATAATGTCTTCATGAAATTTGAATAATTTTAATAAATTTCTGTGAGCATCCAATATGCTATAGTAGTGTCTATAGAAAATATTTTTTTTTAAAAAGTCTGAAATATTTAAAATAATAATAATGACTATATTAAAATGTTTTTATTAACTTTGGCCTCTCAAGTAGAAACAATGTGTAACTTCAGTAGAACAGAAATTATATGGAATTACCTTAACTTTTGTTTTTAGACAGAACCTATAGTATTTTTTTACCATGTGATAGAGATCTTTTTTTCTGATTTTAACATTTGAAAGCATTACATTTTAATTTATTTTAAGGTTGCAGAAAAGATTAATTCAAGCACATTCAGACAAATGCATACACTAATAAGGATATATTTCTAAAGTAATTTAGGGAAAAAATTAGAGATTTTATTTAAATCAGCATTTAACTTAATTCTTAAATGTAACATCTTTTTTACCAGTATGTTTTTTTTCTGCAATAAGCTACTCTACAAAAAAAAAAAAAGTATATTGCAATCGTCCTAGTTGGTAACAATTAGAAAATGTAGCCTTTGTTGGGATAATGACTACCTCGCCGAGACACCTCTCCATTGCACTAAAGGAGGAAAGAGTCTTAGCATTGTTCCGGAAGTTTGTCACTTGAGCAAAAGGCTAAATATTTCTTTTGCAAAAGCTTACTTTATTAAATGACCCTGTGTCATGTTTTGCATTAAAAATAGATATGTAATAATATCACCAGTAGTAAGTAATTTCTCATCTCTGCTTTGAACAGGATTGATAACGAAGGATTAACGTTGAAAAAGCCACTAAATTCTAACTTCAAAATTAAATTTTCAAGGTTAAATTGGTTGTTTACTTCCTAAATAAATATTAAAACACAAAGTAAAGGTAAAGACTAATTAATAATGTTAAAGAAATGATTTTGAAATTATCAAATAAAAAGTAGGGTTTATTTTTTCTCCTACCTTATGACACCAGACCTCCGTCTTTAACATCGTTTTTAAATTGCTTTTTATCTTAACAAAAATAATTGAAAATTACTTTTCTTTTTCAGACACTTTTTTTTACCTTTGTAACCTGTTTAGTTTTTTTATTCTTCTTAGCTATGCATTAAAACAAAAACAAAAAAAAATAAACGTTTTCCCATTTCTATTTTTAAATTTAATTTACAAACTAGAATTAAATTTGTCACTAGTGTAAATTTACCGAAACGAATTTCAACTTGGCCCTCTAAACTAAACACCTCACATTTTTAACGCAATGTATAAGCTTGAAAATGTTTAATTTTAATGTTCTCTTTTTTTTTAGGGGGGGGGTCATAATTTTTAACGTGGGGAAATCATAAATGAGTTACAGAAAAATGATTAGACAAGATACGGGCTAAAAATGATAAGTAAAGTGAGAAGAAATATGATGCTAGAGTGTCAAGTGTCAACTAAGCCATGCCAAACCAGTTATGTTACTAACAAACTCGTAAGTGTCGGTCTCAGACACTAACTCAAAAGGTGACTTAGCGCTAACAGTTAACAACGACGTGTGCACATTTTAAAATTGTAATTCTGAGTCATTTTTCTAAATCACAAGCGAAAAATCAAGTGGTAAATTTTTTTTTATTATTATTATTATTTTTACACGTACGGCATGCAAAAAGAGGTGGTTTCTCATAAAACCAAGACATTTTCTTAAAAAAAGAAAATGAATTTTCTCGCTTTACAGTTTACACAGTAATTTTTTTTTTTAAATTACTGTGTAAATTAAAAAACGAGCGTCAATTAGTGCAATAACGCAGCATGCCCCTGTTCAGGTTTTTCACATTTATTCTCCTAATAAAGCTTAAAATGACCCCATATTTTAAGTTCCTATTTTTACTCCACTAGCTGTAAAAAGACTTTTTTAAAACATGATGATGACGCAAGAAAAAGTTTGAAAGATCTATGTTACATTCCCTCGACATATCCATTCATATGAGCGTCATTTTTTTTTTTTTACAGTAGGGAAGACAGTTACAAAAACAAGAAACAATTTTTCATATTTTAAATTAAAATATTTATAAAAAAAAATAGAATTTATAAACTATTTAAAATTGATAACAGTCTGAGTAGACAATGCCTAATTTTTTGACACGATGTATAAAAAAAAAACAAACAAACAAACAAAACCCGTAAGCATTTTTTATAAGATTGATGTTCAAGATTATTGATGTAAAAAAATGTAATATTCAATAGCAAAATTTACTTTTTAGGTCGGAACAATTTACGAATGAATTATTTTAAAAAATAAAATAAAATCAAAACTTGCTCTGACCGCTGTGCTGTGACACTGATATTAATTTCTTTTTTTTTTTTTTTTTTTTTACCAGTAATAATCAGCACAGCAATTATTTTATATTTGAGAACAAAAATGAACAGAACACGCAAACAAGAATAACAAAAAAAAATCAATATGAATTGTTTCTATTTCGCTTAATAATTGCAAAAGTATTTAAGCTCGGGGGGAAAAAAAAAAAAAAAAAGGAACTTTTTAGTGAAAAGATGACTTTTCTCTTTGCGTAAAATTAAAAATAAATACTGATATTTAAATACAAATTACGATAAGCTATATTAAGCACGTGACCAAATAGTTTTCTTCACAAATTGACATGACTTATTTATTGCGACAGTCATTTTCGTGTATTTTTTTAGTTCTCGGTTCATTGATTTAAGGTTTTATTTCATTAAACTTTTTAAGAGAAAAAAATTGATAAATTTGCAAACAAGTCGTCGCATTATGAAATTGAAACAAAGGTTGTTGATTTTTTAACATGAAATTGCAAAAACTGGATTCGAATTAAAAATAAAAAAATGTGACTAGTTCACTAGTAGAATTTGAATTAGTTTTCTTTTTTAAATTTAATGAAAAAGAATACAATAAAGTTAATTTTCTTCTACATCGACTATTTTTATGTTTTTATGCCTTTTTAAGTTCTAAAGAAAAGAAACGTACTTAAATTTTTCATAATTATTGTTGTTGCACCAGATTCGAGTTTTCTAGAATACAGTAGTTCAAATCCCGACAGAAGCAATGTTTAAAAATGAATTATTGTATCATTTGTTTCGCCAAGAAGAAGAAAGAACAACAAAAAGTGGAGTAAAAAAAAAAAAAAAAAAAAAAAAAAATAAAGTAGTATACGACTGTACGCATGGAAAATTCACGGAGGTGGGGGGGGCTATTTTCCGATATTATCTTTGGAGACATGCATTTATAAAAAAGAAAAATGAAATAAATGAACATCTAATCCAAGCAAGGGATAAAATAGGGCAAGAATTGTATGTGTTTCACTGTGTTTTTTTAGTCACCAATAATCAATTTCTACTGCGTTGTAAAAGGAAATGATGAAACAAGTAAAATTTTAAAACAAAACGTTACTACAAGAAGCACAAACAGGTCTATTTTCCTCATATAATTACTACTACCCAATGTTTCTGTAATGACTGGAAAAAAGAAGAAGAAAAAGGGAGGAATTGAAGAGATGACGTGATCAAAAGATGAAAGCGAAATCAATACGTGACGTCACCGATATACCTGTCTGACAAGATCGATAGTGTACACTACAGTACACTGTATGTACATAAGATATACACACATATAGGATCAAAAAGACATTCAAACAAAATCCATCCAATTCTTAAATTATTTTACTACACATCATAAATAATTAGTGCTGCACCCGACGATATAACAACTTCTGCGACAACTAGGGCCACCACACTACACGTATCAATAGCAATTCTAGACAGTCTAAAAATAACACCCCTCATAATAGTATAGTTTATATAATTTAACATGCTACTAGGCTTTTTAAACATTACAAGTCTCTGAACAGTTCACTCTTTTCGTGAGTAAATTGTGCGGCCAAATGCTACTGCTTGGACGTGGATTATGATAGAAATCAAAAGCTAACAAGTTGCGATTTTTGGTTTTTAATGTGTAAGGAAAACCAAGGTTATACTGTTTTGTGTTGTAGTATTTGAAAAAAAAAATGTGTTCCTATAAACACGTGATTTTTTAAAAACTTGAATGAACCCAAACCACAATAAAACAGAAAAACAAATCCAAGATTTGTACATGCTCAACGTAGTTTTATTTTTGAAATTGAATTTTAAATTTACCTGTGCTAATGAGCTAACGATAATTGGTGGAAGCAGTCACCACATCACAGTAACTAAGTGCAAATAAGTTAACTTAAAAATAAAAGTTTTTATTAAAAACTTTTTAATTTTAGTAAATTTTTTAACTCACCTGTACATGTAGCAAACTTTATCCTTAGTAACAGTGCCTTCACTGCGCGTACAAGAATCGTCTGTGTCTTTTTTTTCCTCTCCATTATTAACCTTCGTCCTGGAACTTGAACTACAAGAACTCGAAGGGACGGTAGACACTGTCGTCGTCGTTGTCGAAGCCATTACTTTCTCCTTTTTTATTTATATGTGCTATATTAATAATATCCTCTCCCGTTACGGTTAGTCGTAAACAACAAAGTGTAGCCAAGAAAGAAAACCAATTTTTCCACCCACTTTTTGAATGTAAAATAAAATTAAACCAATGATCCAAGATTTAACATCCCGCTTCTCCTCGGTTCCACAAGTTTTTGATGGATGTGGGGTAGCTTTTTTATTTTGATTTATTGTTTTTAAAGATTTCAGTTGGTTAAAGCAGCACCATATGCAGCAAGCAGTTAAGTAACTCCATCTCGAAACATATAACTATTTTTTTCAAATATTTTGCAAAATAAGGCGCAGAATGGTAGATCGGATTTTTTAGCCTCCGACTTTTTTTCTTCTCTAAAGAATTAAAAAAATACGAGGTGATATTATTTTCAACCGCGGACTGGCTAAGCTTTTTAAGCTAACTCCCTCCATACTCACACTAAGAACTAGGTTTGACCAAAATTCTTCTTAAATATTGATAAATCTACTTAAAAATCATCCAGTTTCTGTTTTGTTTAAGTATTCCAGTCATTAAGAATTAGGAACCCGTCAGGATTTCGTTGTATTTTTGTATTATTTTCAATTTCCCAGATAGTTTCTTTTTGCGATCCCTGGCAACAGATGATGAATAATAAATAAAGCAATCTTCTCTTCTTTTTTTAAAAAAAGAAAGAAAGAGCAAGATTCAATAGTAGCAGCAATAGTCGTTATTGAAGTAGAGAGAGTGAGTAAAACAACCAAGTAGTAGTAGTAATAAAACAGTTAATAATAGTAGTTATAATACAGCAAGCAACAGTAAAGGAAGAAACAGTGTAAAAACTGAATTCATCACTAAAAATGGCATTTAAAAGAAGTGAAGCACGTATCGCGAGTGAAAAAAGTCATTTTTTTATTTAAATAATTTAATTTAATTTATCTACATAAACTTAGGGAGTAAACGTCATCTGTGACCGAGAAAATCCATCAAATCAGGTTTTTTTTATTTCAAAAGAAAAAGACACTGTTTTCATTGATCAATCGATCAAAATCGATACTCCCCACCAAAAGCAGTTTTTAACTATATAATTTAAAGTGCAATGATTGATCTGTAATTAGATTTTTGGCGTCATTTTTGGAGAGGGAGAAGGAATAAAAATAAAATTATCCTGGGGAGTATATTGTACTAGTACTCCCTAAAAACTAAAAAAGTGTTTCCTTTCTGTACTTTGTTTTTTTGTTTTTTTTTTTTGACTTTTAAAATCCATATCTTTCTGGTAATTAAATTTATTTATTAAGTTAATCTAGGAAGAAGTTTACACATTTTATTGGCGCGCACGCGTGTGTGTGTGTGTGTGTAAGCGCAAATTGAACAGTAATGATCGTGTCGACGATTCATTCACTTAAAATAAATACTCACTAACCAAGTTCTGGCGGTGTTTTTTGGCTTCCCTCGTTAACATCTGCTTTCATAAAAAAAATCTTCGATATTCAAAGACATGTGAATTTAAAAGTAAAAAAAAAAAGCGAAAACAATATTTGTTCTCTTTTTAGTTCCCCCCCCCATTAAATGTCTCTTTAAAAAAATAAAAAAGGCAAAAAAAAAAAAAATGTTTGATTATTGTGAATAAGTCGAGTTTCTGTTTGCCCATCTCCAAACAATGCTTATTTTTTATTTATTTATTTATTTCATTTCCAGGAAGCAAACATAACTACCTGAACCTGTGGATCGATCCCTTCACCTACAAAAAATAAAAAGCTGTGTCAACACAGCACACCTTGATGTCCCAGAGTAAATGACAAAAAAATGGGCTTTTTGTGTCACAGTTTTTATGTGAGCATGTGTAGATTGTAAAATGTAAATATAACCAATAACGGAAACGCATATATAAAAATAAAATTATAGAATAAAAACTTAAAAAGTAAAGACGGTGATTTCTTAGCGAAGAAAAAAAAAACATGCCCTCTCAGAGCCGTTATGAAGTGGAAGCTTTCACTGAGAAGAGAATTGATATAACGTTGACACGATGAGAGACATCATTTTAATAATGAGCCGTTGCTAATGCAGTATTTATTGTTGCTATGAAATCTGAAGAGGTGCCTGACTTACAACTAGTCTGGCAGACTAGTTTGACCCCCACCCCTCGAGGGTGCACAATAAGCTTTGAAAGGAACTGACAAAAAATGAAGTGTGTAATGCACATGACTTATTTTTAAAGCAAAAAACAAAGAAAAGGCTTTTCCGTAATTTGTACTGTAAAAATCAGACGGCAATAACCTTATTTTCGTACATTTTTTAACTCGAAACTACTGCCCTTACTTCAAAAATGTGTTTGTTTTTGTTCGTTTAATAACCGAAAGTAAGATATCTGTTCAGAGAGCCATAATAAGTCTAAAAAAGCAGAAAAAATTGACTGACCGACCAAAAGATTTGCTAGTTAAAGAAAAACTTTTAACTCACAAATCTTTTGGTCAATCATTTACAAAGGACATCGGTCGTGATTAAAAAAAAAAATGATAAGAACAATACGTCTGACTAGATGAAATAAAAATGTTTTATTAAAAACTGAACATTATCGATAGAACTGATACTCACCACACCAGTCAAAACAAAAAAAGAACCATATTATAATTTTAACTAGAGAAACTAAGACAAATTACCCTAACCTCACATTAAACCAGTTGAAATTTTGTGACAACATTTCAGTTGGTTCCTTTATTTGTTAAGCATTTTTTGTCTTGTGAAGTGTTCTGTTGAGCAGTTCTGTTTATAATTCTGTCAGTGGTTTACATTGTTGTCTTCTTGAAGACGCCACTCAATTGCTCTTTCATTGTAACATTTTCAACAACTTGTTGATTGATTCCAGTTTATTCTTCTATTTTCATGTCTTTTGCTATCAGCTGAGACAAAACAATTTTACCAAGAAAATCAGATTGTCTGAAACTATGAGAGAAAAAATATCTGAAAGAAATTATAATAATCAAAAATACCTCTACAAAAGAAAAAACAAGTCTGGTTGTGCTTATGAGTCAGTGTACTGTAAGTAAACATTTTATATTAGGACTTTAATCAAATTTACCTTAATAGAAAATCTTAAAAGTCTAATTTTTTTTCTCATACCTATTTTCAACACATCTTCATTTTGAAGAATTAGTTAAAAAAAAACTACAGTCCATGAGATTGTAAAATTTCTTGTATAATGTGCTTTTTCTTCCATTATTCTCAAAATTCATTTTTTTTTTTTTTAAGCGTTTCACCCCAAGCAAGGCGGAAAGCCACTAGGACACAAGGGGTTACAGAAAATTTGGAGCAAGATCAGATAGAAGTGATAGAAGAAAGGATGAGGAGAAGAGTAGTGGATAGATCAAGGCAACTGGAGATACAGAGGCCAGTGAGAGAGAGAGAGAGAGTACCGGAAACCCCTTCCTAAACAAGAAACAAGGCATAAGCCTCTACTCATGTCCAAGAGAAGGGGGAGGAGTGTTGACCGGTGGTAGGAAAGCCTACCTACTCCTTTTTCATCATTTGAAATAAATGACCTAATAGTTTAACAAAATTTTTACAGTAACTTTTAGTAAGGAGTAGCAACTGGATGAAACATTCTCTTAAAACATTAAGCAACATAAAGAAGCATCACTATGTCAGATTTTATTATGTAAGTCAATGTTTTCATAGTAAAATTAGTATTAATCAACATAAATATTTCAGAATATACTTATATTTATCTGATAAATATACCATGTGACTTTCTGCTTGTTGTAAATATTTCTAATAAAAACAGATATTATCCTGTATTTGATGGCATGAGATTTTACAATGTAACTTGAGGATTGCTCATCATATTGTTAATGAATATATATAATAGTAGAGTTATTGATATTTATTTTTAATTTCAGATATATCAAGATTGTCAAGAAATTTTAAGTTACTGAGTGATGGGAACACAATATTGGAAATATCAAAAAGTTGAACAGAAATCAGAGAACAGTCAAAAAAGATTGCAAACCCTGAAGAACAAAAATTTTATAAACGTCACAAAGAGAGATTTGAGAAACATTAAAAGGATAAGCAAAAAAATATTTAAAGCTGATGTTGCAAATGTTATAGAGAAAATATGCAGCATATTAAGAACACTAACTAAAGACATAAAAGCAACCCAAATACCAGAAAGAGTTGAGTGAAAATGTACATGAAAACTGATTTCTCAAAAGTAATTTTTAGTGATGACTGTAGAGCTACATTGGATGAACCTGATGGCTGAGCTAGAAGTTGGTTCTTTCATTGAACACAATACAACTTAGTAGGTAATGTGAGACAGGTGGGGTAATGTTTTGAGCGAGTATTGAAAGCAGTAAAATTAGAGATACCTTCAAAGTTGAGAAATGTATCAAGATAAATGCAAAGAATTATTGTAATACAATTACATTCTATATATTACTCTAATGAAAATACTTTTAAAAAATTTTTAAAAGAATGAAAAATAATATTAAAGCAAGGATCACTGGGAAGCAATAAAAACTGTTGCAAGTAATGTTAAAATTGAAACAATAGAAAAGTTAACAAAATTAATGAATAAAAGATTGATGTAAGTTATAGAACATCAAGGTGTTCATATAAAATAATAAAGTAATAATTTTTCAGATCTCTAGCATATTGTGTTAATCAAATATGTTTCTGTAGCCTATATCTTTTGAAATTACTTTCTATAAATTCACATAAGGCATTTTCTCTGTGTATCCCACTCTTTATATCAGTTGAACAAAACAGCCTGAATTGTTAAACCATCATTTCTCTAAAGACTTTTTTATATATATATCTTGAGAGATCAGAAATTATGACCCATTGTACACACAAAAAGTTCATTTTGTGTTCATTTGAAGTGGGATAAAAAGAACATATGTATTCATTTCTTTTTAAATATAGAATTCATAATATTTTTATTTTTAAAAAATAAAGCATTTGGAAATCAATTGGCCAAAATTGCCAGAAGATACCAAAA